CAGAACTTAAGATACCACCGTGCCGATCAGATATTAGACAGATACTGGAACGCTGTTTCACAACGTGCTCTTTCATATGGTTCAAAAATAACGTCCACGTCTCTTGGCTTTCATTGGCACAAATAGCAAAAGCTAGAGGAAATATCTGTCCATTAGCATCTACTGCCACGGCTATCAACAGCTTGATATCGTACTTTCCATAGACATGAGTGCCGTCTATGGATATTACGGGGCGACAATGCGAAAACCATCAATTGCTGGTTTAAACGCCCAGAACACGTAATTGAATATATATTCTGGTTTACCTGCACTCCGCTCAAGCTTCCACTCAACAACCATTCCGGGGTTAAAATGCTGCAGTGCAGCCATGTACCTAGGCAGATCTGCAAATGACTTATCCCAGTTACCATAGACTATTTCAAACGCTCGTTTGCGCCCGAGAAATGCCTTTCTTTTAGTAATGGTATGGCCATATTCCTGGTGGACTACTGTAATGCACTCTTTGATTTTATATCTTATGGACTGTTCGATGTGTGGAATAAGAACAAGAGAAATCAAGTCAATATCCAAGTTGAAATGATTCCCGTTGAATGTGTCCATTTCGCATGTGTGGGTGGGAATGTATTTACCCACTTTCCACATACCTGTCTTCTTCTTGGTCGCACGCAACATCCAATTACATGGCCAAAACCACCTGCGGCAAACAACCTTGTATACCGTCGGACTTGACTCCCATACCTGCATCTCATGACAATCTTTTACGTTGTGCATTTTACAAGCCCTGCTTAGGCGCGCTTTATCAGGAAAAAGCATCCCCTTTGCAAGCACCGTTGGTCTAGACTCATCCCACATTGCTGTCCGGATTTCATCAAAATCCCTTGTGAGAGCTTCCACATCCGGCACGGTTGGCAAGTTATCAATGTAAGGAATCTCTCTTGAATGAAACGGCACTTCGGACTCATACACTCTTCGTCTAGGGGGGTCTCTCTTCAAATCAGGTCCTTCCTCCTCATCCTGCGCATCACCATCCTCACGAGGAAAGGGTGTCTCGTCTCCGGATTCATCCGCATTGTTATCGTAATCACTGTTCTGTTCCTCACTCTGTGCATCTGCCAGATCCCGATGTAATACGTCATTTTCGGGCAATTGAGTAAGTTCAACTTGCTCGTTTTCACTGCACAACCAACAAAAATATAAGCTACTGAATTAATAAATGCTTTCCATATGGCTATATCACTTCACTTACAAGTCGTAATGTGATGAAATTCCATGATGGACGTTTTCAATTAGGTGATGACTACCGGATGGGCCACTTGTAAAATTTATATCCGGCCGGTACCCCCTATTAAATATATGAGCGTTAATACAAATTCAATACAAAAAAAATATATATAATTAACACAAATGAAAATTGAAGTTTACCACTTGTCTTGTGAGTTATGGAAAGCAGGGTATAAATTATTTTCTCGCTGCTCATTCACCGGCGGTGAATAAGTTTAAATCAAAGAAAACTCTTTCATCCGGAACCTGTCCGGCAAAAACTGCTCCAGAATAACCACCCGATGACTGGGAGTTATCTCTACTACGCACAACCTTATTTTTTGGAACGTCTTCGGCCTTCACGTACATCTCCAACATTGTGATTACAAGAAATTCGCGACATTCGTCCGGAGTCCTCAGAAAATCACTCAAAGTTTCATCATCGTCGATGTTAAACTCCGAGTAAAAAGCAACCCCTTGCGGAGTGACGGAATACGGATATCTTCCAGTTACTTTAAGTATCACTGAACGTTTCCTCACACTCATTTTTTTGCATAACAACGACATCAATGTATCGTACTCCATTGTAAGTGGCAATTTAACATGACACTTAGCAGGTAAACTGTAGCCCACTGAGTTATTCTCCATCACAACCTCACCCCCCCAATATAATGAAACTCTTATCCTACGCTCTTCAGACATAATGAAAAACTGCTGGAGAATTTAACAATAATAGACGTTTCAACAAGAGTTAAAATTTTTTTGAATGAATTTCTATATGATTCTAACCTCTTTATATAGGAAATGGCTAGCCGGGAAGTTTTTTTTTATATATATAGCGCCAAACTAGTTGGCACTATAGCTTTTGAATTATTGAACTCAGAAATTATTGGTGGGGCCAGGAAAAAAGAATATAGCGCCAGGTATTATGGCGTTATACCTGCGCCCTGTCAGCTTTTGCAGTATAGCGCCACAATACTTGGCGCTATACATTAACGGTGCAATTACTGTTAATGTATAGCGCCAGGTATTGCGGCGTTATACATAAAAATGTAACTTTTTTTTTCCACCTATTTGTGTACTTTGAGTCCAAAGTAACCACATTTTGGTTCCGGACTCTTTTGGTGTGGGGTAAATTATTCTTCGCTGATGAACAAGCTACAGGCTTTTGGTGATTTCTTGCATCAGTATGTCTGAGAGACTGAGACCAAAGTATCTTATGTTGTTTGTCCAATAGATATGGTGTATTGGATGCTGCTAATAGCATTATTTCTTTAGCAATTTTTACCGGTAAGTGAATCTTATCCTGTTCTTAGTGTGAATGAATTATTTTTGGAAGACATAGCAACTGACATAGTTTTCTGAATTTTTGTGAGCTTACTCTATAATTCAAGTGACGCACTGGATTACCATTTTTCACAAGTGTGAATCATGTGATGCGATAATTCAAACACTTTGACATCAGCCTTCATGATGTGGCTAGTGGTGATGGTCAATGGAGCCTGATATTCTTGCTCTGCTTCTACAAAAATCTTTCTAATGACACACTAAGAATCCGGAAAATATAATTGCCGCATTTATTATTTACGATATATTAAATGATTTAATCTTAAAAGTAACAAATTAAAGTTGGAATATAGTATATATTTTAAACAAGATGCACACCAGAAAGGGACAGTTTTGTCTGTTTTCGCCTGCAACTTTGAACTTACCGTTTCTTGAAGCACTTTCTTCGACTACACATTGCTATGCTCTATGGTTTTCTCTTTTTGCCCTAGATACTAGATTTTAATCTTTCTGATCATGACGTCAGGGTCGGCTCTACTGTTTTGAGTAGTAAGGCTTGTGCCTTGGGCCCCCAAATTTGTCCTTTCTTAAAAATAATAGATTTATAAGTATTAAAAAAAAATATTTGGTACTTTTAATATAAAAGTATAATTTTTAATATAAAAGAAAATAATGCTCTTTAGATATATAAATAAAGTAATAATTTGACTTACTTTAATTTGTTCAAGTTAATCTTTCTTTTTCTCAATCTCTTCATATTTCAGAAACACTTATATATTTTCTGTCTTTTTCTTTAATATTCTTAGTCACCTTCTTTCTCCAAAAAATTTAAGCTTCCAATAGTTCTATACTTCTATTACTCTATAAAATCTTATGTAAAATCAACAATATCTCAAGAAAGATTAAATGAGTTAGTTATATTATCAATTGAAAAGGAATTATTAGAGAAAATTGATTATAAAAAGGATTATTAACAACTTTGTATTTCAAAAAGCTAGAAGAATAGACTTTAAATAAAAACATAATTTATAACATTTAAAAAAAAATTAGCCTCATATTAAACTTTGGCTTTATGCCCGGCATATACTTGAGCCGCCCCTACATTACGTGGTAACAAATATGGCTTCTCCTTTTGAATTATTGTCCCATATGTAAATTACGAGAATCATCATATTAATCTATTTCTAAGAGTGTTACGTAGTGGGTTATTGACTTCAGCAACCAAAAGTGCAGCAAATATTTGTAACGTTCACTATATTTTGTTTTATTCTATCTCAGTTGAATGGGTCCTATTAACTGATATTTAATGCCAATTACAAACTACAGTTTACACAGAATAAGTCCTGGCAACGTTATTACTTTTCCTTCCGTACAGTTCTGTAACGTTACAACATTAATCCATTATGCAGTACATTCAACTTTAATTAAAAGAAAGCAATTACCAGTATACTTTCTTTGTCTGTCTCTTAGATCTCCTATTTTTCCTCATTTCTTTTCCTTGTTAATCACAATTCCATTAATTTTGCAGAAATCTTTGGACTTTTAGCCACTTGTTAAGCACAAGATGATGCTAGCCAGCTGGTAATGACAGCTACGAAAAAGGAAAGAAATGTAAAGTATGAAACACGATTGTGTCACGTTCTGAATTAAATCCTTCTTCTGTGTCAACTTGGTACGACTATTTCTTTTATAGTGGAATATCAGACAAGGAGAATCTTTTTTACATTTTCTAGCCAATCCTCATCCATCCTATTTTAAAGTAAATTCAGTAGCCAAAACTTAAAGGGTCTTCCAAAATCTGTTCAACAATCATCTCAAATGGGAGCTGTAACCCAAAATTCTCTGCACAGTGAGTATGCAATGTTGCTCATTTTACTGTTCTATTCATTTTCTGTTTTTGTTAATGGTTATAATGCTCAGTTAACCTCACATTCAAATCATAGACCACACCATCATTTTCTCTTCACCGAAGCAAAATCTAAAGTCTTGCCTAATCCATCTGATTACTTTTCTAGCCAACTTCTTTCCACCCCTTTGCCCACTAATTCATTTTTCCAAAATTTTGTACTCAAGAATGGTGACACGCCTGAGTACATTCAACCTTATCTAATTCGCTCTGCTAACTCCTCTGTTTCTATTTGTTACCCATCTCAGAACATAACCTCTGCTTTAATAGAACAGATTTTTCGCCCGGATTTGACTATATCCGCTTTCAAGAATCCTAATCCAACGCAGCACCACATAATCTCATCATATAGTGATCTCAGTGTTACTTTAGACTTACCATCAAGTAAACTTAGATTCTTTCTGGTCAGAGGTAGTCCTTATATAACCTTTGCCGTTAGTGGAAACACTTCCATTTCAATCTCAAGCGTTCATCCCATTCGCAAACTCTCTTGTCATAGTTCTTTCACTAAGTACACAATTAGACTCCGCAATCGTCAAACATGGATCCTATATGCATCTTCTCCTATACATTTGACTCACAATGTATCCTCTATTTTTTCTGGTGGATTCTCGGGTGTTATACGGATTGCTCTCTTGGCTAATTCTGATCGCCAATGTGAGAAAATTCTTGATCAGTACAGCTCGGCTTATCCTGTGTCTGGAAGTGCAACTTTGAGATCTTTTGGTCTTAGTTACAAATGGGATGTGAAAGGTAAAGGCAAGCTGATTATGCTTGCCCATCCTCTTCATCGTCGACTTCTTTCAACAGCAGATTCTTCAGCAGCTCATGTTCTAGAGGATTTCAAGTATAGAAGCATGGATGGTGAACTTGTCGGTGTTGTTGGAGATTCGTGGGAGCTTGAAACAAATTCAATTCCAATATCATGGCATTCGGTTAAAGGTTTGAATAAAAAATCAATCCCTCAAATTATTCGTGCACTTGGTAAAGATGTTAAGACTTTGAATGCATCAAACGTATCTACTACATCGTCGTACTTTTATGGGAAATTAGTTGCTAGAGCAGCAAGATTGGCATTGATTGCAGAAGAGGTTTCTTATCCTAAGATAACGCCGGTTGTTGTTCAATACTTGAAGGATACAATAGAGCCTTGGTTAAATGGAACATTTGGTGCCAATGGTTTCTTGTATGACAGGAAATGGGGTGGCCTTGTGACTAAACAAGGGCTAAATGACACAACCGCAGATTTTGGTTTTGGAATTTACAATGACCATCATTTTCATTTGGGATACTTTGTGTATGGTATTTCTGTGCTTACTAAATTTGATCCTGCTTGGGGAAAGCAGTACAAAAAGCAAGCCTATGGTTTAGTTGAAAATTACACGAACTTGGGACTGAAGGAGAACCGGCATTATACTCGTGTTAGGTGTTTTGACTTCTGGAAGTTACATTCTTGGGCTGCAGGGTTGAATGAATTTCCATTTGGGAGAAATCAAGAAAGTACAAGTGAAGCTATTAACGCGTATTATTCAGCAGCATTGATGGGATTCGCGTATGGAGATACAGACCTTGTTTCCATCGGATCAACTCTTACTGCCTTTGAAATTCTATCAGCACAGACTTGGTGGCATGTAAAAGGAGACAACAAAATCTATGCACCAAGTTTTGTCAAGAAAAATAAGGTGGTTGGTATTTTATGGTCTAGAAAAAGAGATAGTAATCTTTGGTTTGCTCCAGCTGAGAGGAAAGACATAAGGCTGGGGATTCAAGTTCTACCATTATTACCAATCACTGAGGTTGTGTTTTCTGATGTGGATTATGTGAAAGAGCTTGTTAAATGGGCACTCACTAGTGTACCTAAAAATAGAACTGAGGAAGGTTGGAAAGGATTTGTTTATGCCTTGGAAGCTATTTATAGAAAGAAGCAAGCTCTAAAGAAAGTGAGGGACCTGAGCAATCATGATGATGGAAATTCACTCTCAAATCTCTTGTGGTGGATTCATAGCAGAAAATGATGAGCATTTAATTTGAGAGGTTTGCTAATTATGCTTTTTAGATTGTTATTCTTGAAGTGTTGATCAATTCCATTTGTCTGAGGAAACTTCAATAAATTTGGCATGAGTAACACAGTGAGAATAACAATGTGTTTATTATTGACCAATGTCACCATGCTCATGCTTTTTACAAATATGCATCATGATTAATAGAGTTTCTAATTAGAATTTTCTTGCTGCTACATTCTGTTATGTTACATATCTTGAACTCTATAGATGCTTATGCAATTGGCACTTATCCACTAAGCTAAATGCCACTTGAGCGACTACCTAACAGAGGCGGATCCAGGAATTTAAATTTTTGGGTTCCTGCAAAAACCCCAAGTTATATATATAATAATAAATGGATTCAAAATCAAATATTTATAAAGTTTTATTGAATTTTCTAATGTAAATACAATATTTGGGCAAAAGCTACTGGGCCGGGAACCCATATCTTAAGGCTAGATCGGGAGAAATTCAAAAATAGCCAGATTTACCACTGATCGTTGAAAAATAGCCAAGTTTCAAAAGTCATCGAAATTTAGCCACTTTAAATCTGAGCGAAAACACTGTTCAAAATTCGGAAAAATACGCCCGCAAATTTTACGGGAGTTCCAGCATAAGTATGCTTGAACTCCCGTAAATTTTACGGGAGTTCCAGGATAACTATGCTGGAACTCCCGCAAATTTTACGGGAGTTCCAGCAAGTATAATTGTCCAGTATAATATACTGGAGTTTGGAGCACTGGTGCTCCAATCTCTCGCAAATTTTACAGGAGTTAGCAAAGTATACCGGTCCAACATAATATGCTGGAGTTCGTACACAAATGCACCAGAACTCCCGTATATTATACTGGACCGGTCCCTGTTGCAGCAAAATAGTGGCTATTTTTCATTGACTTGATAAACGCTGGCTATTTTTCATTGACCAGTGTGAAAACTGGCTATACCATGATATTTTAACGGCTAGATCCCCTGCCTATGGAGCCAAGTGGGCTGATTCACTAGGTTACATAGTTTGTTCGTGCAAACAGTAGCGCACACAGAATTTTGTACAAGGGATGTCTGACCTGTTATAACTAGCTCGATTTGTACGTGAGTTTGAGTCCGAAATTGTAGAGGTTCTAAGGTTTTACCATTTTGTCCCAAATTGATATTTGGCATTGGTTTTACATGTATATTTAGTGAATGTTTATCTGCGAAGTGGTGTTGGAAGACACTCCTTGTAGAAGGATGTCCCTTCTATTGCGAGCAAATATGCTGCCTCCTCTATTAAGAACAACGACGACAACAACAAACACAGTATGTTCTCACAAGTGGGATCTGGGGAGGATGGGGTGTACGCAGACCTTATCCCTACCTTTAAAAAGATAGAGAGGTTGTTTCCGGTAGACCCTCGGGCCTCGGCTCAGGAGAGATAAAAGGGAATGGACAATGATAAGCAAATTAATCAAAAAACCAAGCGAAAACACAAAACTAACACTAGGTAGAGTGCAATTAGAAAACCAAACCGAAGGAAACAACAAGTGATAACACAAGTCTAGAAAGATGAAAATACACGAAAGACACTTAGTCATGTACTAAAGTTACTGTAACAAACAAAGACAAAGCTCGCCTCCTCTATTAAGAAGACGAGTATAAACTTTTTCCTCCTCTTCTCTCTTTATAGTAGTAGGTTCCAACAATATAAGTGTAATAGCAACCTTCTGATGCAAGAAAAAGTAGGCCTTCAGGGGGCCAACCTAAAATGTTAGCTGGTGCCTATATTTGCCTAGTTGTAAGTGGACATAATATAATACTACTGTATATGACAAGATGGAGAAAGAGGGCAGGATTCTGGGGGTCGGAAACCAAAATGTTGCTATTTTGGATTCAGAAAACACAAATAAGTGTAAAAAAAAAAGGTAACCATAATATATATAACGCCAGAAAACCTGGCGCTATATAATAACGGTAACTGCACCGTTATTGTATAGCGCCAGGTTTTCTGGCGTTATACACTGTCACAGTGATATAGCGCCAGGTTTTCTGGCGTTATACACTGACACAGTGATATAGCGCCACAAAACTTGGCGTTATATCCTTTTTTCCCTGACCCAAGTATTATTTAGAGTACAATAATTCTAAAGCGTATAGTGCCAACTTATTTGGCGCTATATATGTAAAAAAAAAACTTCCCGGCTCTCCATTTTCTATATAAAGAGGTTAGAATCGCATAGAAATGCATTCAAAATTTTTTTTAACTCTTGTTGAAACGTCTGTTGTTGTTAAATTCTCCATCATTTTTTTATTATGTCTGAAGAGCGTAGGATAAGAGTTTCATTATATTGGGGTGGTGAGGTTGTGATGGAGAATAACTCCGTGGGCTACAGTTTACCTACTAAGTGTCATGTTAAATTGCCACTGACAATGGAGTACGATACATTGATATCGTTGTTATGCAAAAAAATGAGTGTGAGGAAACGTTCGGTGATATTTAAAGTAACCGGAAGATATCCTTATTCCGTCACTCCACAAGGGGTTGCCTTTTACTCGGAGTTTAACATCGACGATGATGAAACTTTGAGTGATTTTTTGAGGTACTCCGGACGAATGTCGGGATTTTCTTGTAATCACAATGTTGGAGATGTACGTGAANAGAGCCTTGTAGCGTAGTAATGTGTAGTATTTTCGCTTAGAATTCCTTTTGTTTTAGTATCTATTACTGGTATTTCGATCCTCAAAATATGGAGCCTGGAATCCATACGTAAGTAATTTGTACAATTAAGTTATTAAAAAATATGAATTTAAATTATAAGAAAATACATAATTATTAATGATAATTTTGTGCCACTAGGCCTCAAAATATGGAGCCCGGAACCCATACGTAAGTAATTTGTACAATTAAGTTATTAAAAAATATGAATTTAAATTGTAAAAAAATACATAATTATTAATGATAATTTGGTGCCACTGGGCCTCAAAATATCGAGCCCGGAATCCATACGTAAGTAATTTGTACAATTAAGTTATTAAAAAATATGAATTTAAATTGTAAAAAAATACATAATTATTAATGATAATTTGGTGCCACTAGGCCTCAAAATATCGAGCCCGGAACCCATACGTAAGTAATTTGTACAATTAAGTTATTAAAAAATATGAATTTAAATTTTAAAAAAATACATAATTATTAATGATAATTTGGTGCCACTGGGCCTCAAAATATCGAGCCCGGAACCCATACGTAAGTAATTTATACAATTAAGTTATTAAAAAATATGAATTTCAATTATAAAAAAAATACATAATTATTAATGATAATTTTGTACAATTAAGTTATTAAAAATTATGATTTTACAGTTGACGACATGGATGCGCCTATACATCCCGGCCCTCGGACGTCGGATCTATTAGCCCTACAGCCCCAGCATAGATCCGAGTATATCTGGGAGGGACAGTTGCTTACTACGACGTTTCGGGCCAGGAGAGTGGATCTACTATGGGAGTTTTTGAGTCCTCCCCGCGTTCTACATCCCCGCGTGGTCCATCACTTGGAGGAGATGGGATTTTATAGGATTATTAGGATTGGTCGGATACAGCTCGACTATGCTTTGATCACGGCCATGATTGAGCGATGGCGACCGGAGACGCACACTTTCCATCTTCCCATTGGCGAGGCCACCATCACACTCCAGGACGCAGAGATTTTATATGGCCTGTCCGCTGATGGCTTGCCTGTTTTACTCCCTACGACCATGAGATATTATCCGCGGGAGGCATATTGGGATATGCTGCACATGCTCACTGGTTTCATGCCGGAGGGCCAGGAGGTAGCGTCTGGGGTCAGTCGCATACAGTTAGTCCCCATTAGAGACCACCTGGTGCAGCTCCACGATACTATCACCGACGAGTCAGCGGAGGTGGATGTGCAGCGATACACGAGGCTGTTGCTGCTCCTTCTATTTGGGGGGGTCTTGTTCCCGAACACTTCGGGGAACCTAGTGAGCCTCCGTTTTCTGCATCATATCACCCGGTTCGAGGATACAGCCAGCTACAGCTGGGGTGGTGCTGTCCTCTCATTTTTGTACAGGCAGATGTGTCGGGCTTCCATGGGCACACAGAGAGACGTTTGTGGCTTCCTGCCGCTTCTACAGGTGACAACATATTCAACGAATATGTCCGTTAGTTACAATTCTACGTAGTTATAGTTTATCTGACACTATACATCAACTTTCTATGTTAGGTTTGGGTCTATGAGCGATTTCTGCAGCTTCGGCCACCTCTACCACAGCTACCGGCTAATGTAGACATTCCGAATCTCCCTCTAGCTTGTAGGTGGGTTATGCGTCGTAGACTTGAACGAGAGTATGATGCCCATCATAATCTCCCCCGCATCAGGGATGTCTTGGATTTGCTGGAGGACGCACAGGTGAATATCTAACTAAACGTACCAGTTATTGTTTAATTTAGTGTTGCGCATACTAACGGTTTGTGTTGTTATTTGATAGTTCATCTGGACGCCGTACAACGAGGAGGTGATAGGTACCCTGCCAGTGTATTGTACGTTCGGCCGACATATTTGGAGGGCTTTTGTCCCTCTCACATGCCTCGATATTGTGGAGCATCATGCCTCAGAGCGGGTTTTTCGTCAGTTTGGCCTGCCGCAGCCTATACCGACTCCGCCTGCATGGCATCCTTTACATTATGAGAGGGATGATCGGTCTAGGGTGGACGACACATTTATTGACTGGCTTAACGCCCAGCTGGCTATTTGGGACAGGCGAGGTGACTTAAACCCAACTCCGCAGCACTTTCCTATTGAAGGTTATATGGCATGGTACCGCACTGTTTCCCGACTTTTTATCGGGAACCCAGTTCATCAGGCAGAAGGTCGGTACGTCTCATACGCCGGGAGACACGAGGCTCTGGTATGTTTTCTGTTATAATTAATTATATACCTGTAATTTCGTGCCAAATACGTAGTTTAAATTCTTTACTTTTGCGCAGGCGATTGGATTGCATACGGTCTATCGTATGGGGCAGCAGATGCAGAGTTATGTCCACGATCCTGTGGTCATGCAGGACTACAGTCGTCGATTCATGGATTTGGCTGCCCAGACATTGCAGCGAGCCCGATCGGATCAGCGTTTAGCACACGAGGCTGATTATATTGACCCAGCCACGTACCAGCGAGGTCGTGGTATCCCACGAGGTGGTGGTGCCCGACGAGCTGCTAGTGCCCGACGACCTCGTGCTGCCCGAGGAGGTGGTGTTCAGCAGGGGGGCCATGATGCTCCTGACGATGATGTTGCTGCTGATATGACAGGTGGCATTCGTGAGACTGACATGCCATCTTACAGCCTGGGAATTTTTGACACTCCAGTGCCATCACAGATGACCCCATCGGGTCAACTATTGATCACGGGCTCGGATTTTCAAGGAGCTGAGTGGGGTAGATATTTCCCTGGCCCGTCTACCACTGATGAGGGTCGACCGACCCGAGATTTATTTAGTGGGCGCCGACTGAGTTATGGCAGCTCTTCACATGCGCAGGTATGAGTTTATTAGTATTGAATTTGAATTTGTTTTAACTATAACTTATTTATTTTGTTACACTATATTAATTTCCTTATTTCAGGCTTCATGTGATGCTGCGACAGATGACTACATTCAGGATCCAGACACGATTATGGTAAGATAATATAAATTGTTATGAATTATTTATGAATTATTATGTAGTTTTCTAAACTAAGTTTTATATTATTATGTAGCATTCTACTGGACCTGACAGCACCATCGATACATGTCATCCTACGCCGCATCCGGCTATAAGGAGAAAACATGATGATGATGATCCTGATAGCGTACCCAGGCGGGAGGGGATACGCCTCAGGCCGACGGCTACATTGAGACACACCGGATGCGGGACACATTGAGTCGGCCTTCCTTTTTTTTTTATTTGGTGTAAATAATATTTTTGTACATATTAACAACAATATTTAATTGAATATATCCATTACTTTTTTTAGTTCTCCATGTGTTTTATTGTTTCGTATAACAACACAAGCATTTAAACTTAAATGCCACTAATTAAAATAAATTTCAGTACAACAAACAAGGAAAACATAACAACAACACAAACACAAACATAACACGCCAACATAATAAAAATACATAAAATATGAAAAATACACTAAGCACATACAGGCCATTATTTAGTCCCGGCTGCCATTTATTCTCCGCTTCAACCACTTAAATCGTTGTTCCATTTGTTCTTTTTCTTCTTCTAACTCTTTCACTCTCGCCTTCACCTCCGCAAGTTCCCGTTTATATTTATTTTTACGTTCCTTCTGTGCTTCACAATTCCATTCTGCTCTCCATTTTTCATCTCCTACATGCTTTAGTTTCTCCCTCATTTCTGTAATAATTCTATCGCTTTCTCTTTGTACTCCCAGTTGGCATAACCACTTATTATGAAGAGATTGCAGTTGTTCTCTGTAGCATTCCTGATAACATTGTTCATCAACCCATTCATCAAACTCACACATAGGTTCGCCGGGAACCTTGTACAACTGGTTCATACAGTGCCAGTAGCGGCGTCCAACATCACGACCTTCCCAGCAACTGTTCATCACGCATGCTTTTCCACAGTAGCACATTGGTGGACGAAGAGGTTGAGCCATTTGTGAAATATTTCCTTTTAGTAAAAAAAATCTTTCTTTTAATGAAATATTTGCGTTTAGTAAATTTTGAGCACACAAAATGACTACAATGAGCCCGTTATTTATAGGCGAGAGAACACACACATAACGCCAGGTATAATGGCGCTATATTTAGCGCAAGACAACACACACATAACGCCAGGTATAATGGCGTTATATTTAGCGTGTTACATATCATGATGTTGACAAGACTACTTTATATCAGCTGGTCAGCTTTTTCAGTTCGACAAGACAACACACACATAACGCCAGGTATAATGGCGTTATATTTACCTTGTTACATATCATGATGTTGACAAGACTACTTTATGTCAGCTGGTCAGCTTTTTCAGTTCGACAAGACAACACACACATAACGCCAGGTATAATGGCGCTATATTTAGCGTGTTACATATCATGATGTTGACAAGACTACTTTATGTCAGCTGGTCAGCTTTTTCAGTTCGACAAGACAACACACACATACTAAATGAAAATTCGTGTTACATTTAAATATTCCTAGAGGAAAAATAACGAAAAAGAAAAAAAGGTGAAATAAGTGGACCGAAATTTCTTCTATTATCTAGAATCAAACCAAATATTGTGAAAGTTGAATTATGATAATGTCAAAGTATCTTTATTTTTCTTATATATAGAAGAGTGGTAATGTACTGGACTTGGAAAAAAATTATTTTATTACAAGCATAATTTTATTTCATAAATAAGGCAACATACATATATTAACTAATTATTACAACATCAACTCATGGGTAGTTAGGTACACTAGAAGAACACCCACCCCGAGCTTGATTACTGTTGCCACCCAAAGGACATTTTCTACGGTCGTGTCCTGTTTGCGAGCATATACCACATTTTCGCGCATAAACTGTATCACTAACATCCATTTGGTTCCGTATACGCGTTCTCTTCTGCACCTGTATTTTACGCAAATAGGACTTGTTACACACCATTTTAAATGGTTCCCGTTGAATGTGTCCATTTCGCATGTGTGGGTGGGAATGTATTTACCCACTTTTCACATACCTGTCTTCTTCTTGGTCGCACGCAACATCCAATTACATGGCCAAAACCACCTGCGGCAAACAACCTTGTATATCGTCGGACTTGATTCCCATACCTGCATCTCATGACAATCTTTTACGTTGTGCATTTTACAAGCCCTGCTTAGGCGCGCTTTATCAGGAAAAAGCATCCCCTTTGCAAGTACCGTTGGTCTAGACTCATCCCACATTGATGTCCGGATTTCATCAATATCCCTTGTGAGAGCTTCCACATTCGGCACGGCTGGCAAGTTATCAATGTAAGGAATCTCTCTTGAATGAAACGGCACTTCGGACTCATACACTATTCGTCTAGGGGGGTCTCTCTTCAAATCAGGTCCTTCCTCCTCATCCTCTGCATCACCATCCTCACGAGCAAAGGGTGTCTCATCCCCGGATTCATCCGCATTGTTATCGTAATCACTGTTCTGTTCCTGACTCTGTGCATCTGCCAGGTCCCGATGTAATACATCATTTTCGGGCAATTGAGTGAGTTCAACTTGCTCGTTTTCACTGCACAACCAACAAAAATATAAGCTACTAAATTAATAAATAATTTTCATATTTTGTGTAAATCACTTCACTTACAAGTCGTAATGTGATAAAATTTCATGATGGACGTTATCAATTAGGTGATGACTACCGGATGGGTCACTTGTAAAATTCATATCCGGCCGGTAACCCCTATTAAATATGTGAGCGTTAAGACAATTCAATACAACAAATATATACATAATTAACACAAATGAAAATTAAAATTTACCACTCGTCTTGTGAGTTATGGAAAGCAGGGTTTAAAGTATTTTCTCGCTGCTCATTCACCGGCGGTGATAAGTTTAAATCAAAGATAACTCGTTCATCCGGAACTTGTCCGGCAAAAACTGTTCCAGAATAACCCCCCGATGACTGGGGGTTATCTCTACTACGCACAACCTCATTTTTTGGAACGTCTTCGACCTTCACGTACATCTCCAACATTGTGATTACAAGAAAATCCCGACATTCGTCCGGAGTCCTCAAAAAATCACTCAAAGTGTCATCATCGTCGATGTTAAACTCCGAGTAAAAAGCAACCCCTTGCGGAGTGACGGAATAAGGATATCTTCCGGTTACTTTAAATATCACCGAACGTTTCCTCACACTCATTTTTTTGCATAACAACGATATCAATGTATCGTACTCCATTGTCAGTGGCAATTTAACATGACACTTAGCAGGTAAACTGTAGCCCACGGAGTTATTCTCCATCACAACCTCACCACCCCAATATAATGAAACTCTTATCCTACGCTCTTCAGACATTATAAAAAAATGCTGGAGAATTTAACAACAACAGACGTCAAGAGTTAAAAAAAATTTTGAATGCATTTCTATGCGATTCTAACCTCTTTATATAGAAAATGGGGAGCCGGGAATTTTTTTTTTTTTTTTACATATATAGCGCCAAATAAGTTGGCGCTTTATTTTGAATTATTGTACTGGTCAGGAAAAAAAAGGATATAACGCCACTCTTTCTGGCGCTATATATTAACGGTGCTGTCACCGTTTATATATAGCGCCACTATTTCTGGCGCTATATATATTTTTGTTACCTTTTTTTTTACACCTATTTATGTGTTTTGAGTCCAAAATAGCAACATTTTGGTTTCCGACTCAAGATTCTGGTGTAACTGCCAACGGTTGCTGCATTATAAATCATTGTTTATTTATTTTCCTGGTGAGATATTTTGATATTGATGTGCTTTTGCCAAAATTTCTTATTTATTTTTTAGAAATGTTCGCATTTCAATTTCTTTATTTCATGGTTTGGTGGACAGCGCGTACTCCCTCCAGCGAAGTGACAACAAATAAATGAGAGGTGCCCTCTGAATTCTTTGCATTTACTCAAACTTCATACCACACGTCATGAAATAATTATTGGATATTAGAGATGCTTAGAGAGAATTGATTTTACAATTTTTTTTTTCCCAAATGATTGTTAAATATACAAATAGAATGAAATGTCGTGCTCTCTTTGATACATTTGCATACACACGTAATTTTTTTTGGGTTATAAGTTTTTTATATTACATATGAGATCTTGGAAAGGGAAGGAAGAAGTAGGATAGTGAGAATTGCTCAATTATGCAATAACAATTTTTTTTTTAATAAGCAAATCGAAAAATATTGATGTGACAACATTTAAATATATTGGGCAACAAACATGAAGTAGTCTAAAATCATTTACATTTTCTAATGTTTGAACTTTTATGTTACCCAAATTTACTTGGGACTTTTCTCTTTTAAATAAAAGACAGTAAAAGTTGCCTGGTTTTATTGAAAAAGAAAAAGGGAAAAATAATCAGAGGGTGACTTGAGACTTGTCCGATGCTTTAATGACGATATAAAGGAATATGGAATAACTCAAACTGCAAACAAGAAGACCATCTAGATAATATGTCATTTTTTCAATGTGGATAGAAAGCAATTGGGGTTGGACATAGGTGTTTGAAATATAGTACTAGTAAAAAAAAAATTACCATTGGAAAACAATTTTTTCAGCATAAAGATCTCTTCACGACAATCACCTACTCCGATACAAACAAACGGAAGAATTTGATGAATTTTCGTAGTCCAAAATAGTACTATTCATTAGACTGCTACAGTATAATTTTATCACTAGTTCTGGCAAACGAAAAGATTTTACATTCTGCATCTACTTCAATGGTTGGAATATGATAATTGTTTGACCAAAAAGTATTAAACTTTTTTGATTAAATCAATTAGTGATGAGAAGATGAGTGAATCTTAGTTAAGAATAATAAAATCTAGACCAAATGATAGATGAAGTAGACAAGATGAATGTCATTAGCTAATATATTTGCGCTGATTAAATGCTCATAAATGCAACAACATAAATGCGCAATGAATCTAAATAAATGCGACTAGCATAACCAAAGGAAGTTGCTACCCAATTATTGTGATCTTTCGGAATAACCTCTTCTCTTGACAACAGTGTGGAAAGAAAGGAGATAAGAGGTGGTTGAGGAATCTTTGGATCTTGTCAATACCGAACCAAAAATGTATACTCGAGTTATGTAACCAATGAATAAGACAACTTTTGTATATTCTTTCAGTTCAACCTTTTATAAAGTGTTCTTTCTTCTCAAGTTCGGATCCCCTCTTCTTTGCTAACTCTTCCTATTTATAAGGGATA